ATGACTTGGTTAGATGACTTTGCGCGAAGACAACAGTGAGTTTTATCAGTGTAGTTTAGGTTATAGTTTCAAACAACTCCTTTAAATCTTAATTTTACGTTGTTTAGTGGTTCGAACTGTTAGCAATGTTTCTATTAGGTGCCTTGAAATTCAACGAGGTACCTCCACTTCTCACCATGTTGAAGATGACCCAGATGGACTAACTGCTGAAAACCCTCCACTTGAAACTTTCAGTGAATATGGAAGCTATGGGAGCCCTTCACCCAGCCTTGCAGACCCAACATGGTCAAACACTGCTACAAGAAAACGAAAGGCAGGAAAAGACCTTTCTTTTTACTAAAAAAAATTGATAGGTTGTTTGGAGACATTCAAGAATAGCACTTCGAAGATGGCTGCCAAACCTCCTGATGAGTACGATCATTTTGGCATGAGTGTTGCTAAACAAATTAGGAGCCTGCCCACTGCTTTTAGCAGAGCTAAAGGGAAAAAGGACATTCAAGATTACTTTTTAATCTTGAATTACCTAGTGGACAACCCTGATAGTTCATGTTATTTCAGTCTTGTCATTTTTAACTAATGTCAATAGTCAATAGTTAAAAGTAAATAGTCTACAGTCAACAGTCCATAATCCACAGTCTAGTCAACACCACCATGCTTATTACGAGTCAACCCTGATAGTTCAATCAGTAAAACCTGGAATGAGAAAAGCCGGAATCTGTAAAACCCGGAATGAGAGAAAATGCCACGAGTAATCTTGGTAACATGTAAGTTTACAAATAAATGTCAATTCTCTAATTACAATATCCAATGAACAAAATGAAAAAACTCAATTAGAAGCCATTACTTGGGACTCTAATTTGTTTTATTTTTTGTTTTTTGAAGTGGTCTGTTAGTCTTAGCCATAATAAATTTGTATACGGTGACTCCAAATAATGTATCGCTTTATTCTATGTCAAAACGTAGAATCAAAAGGCTAACATAATTTGGAGTTATCGTTGTTGTATATATACTTCAGTTATCATAAATGACATAAAGTTTCTCTCATTCCGGGTTTTATAGATTCCGGCTTTTCTCATTCCTGGTTTTACAGATTTCGGCTTTTCTCATTCCGGGTTTTACAGATCTCGGCTTTTCTTATTTCGGGTTTTACAGATACCGGCTTTTCTCATTCCAGATTTTCCCATTCCTCCATTCCATTCCCCGTTTCCCCATTTCTTGTTTTACAGATAGCCATATTGGAGTAAAAGTTATTACAATTTCGATCGCAAAGTGCTGTGCAAACTGTATGGCATTGCACAGGCATTTTTCTTTTGTGTTACCTGTTAGGTTTTGTTATGTAGCCATCTGCATCCCTTAGTATAATTTGACGTACACCAGCAAATAGAGATATCACAGCTAGATAACTATACGATCACATTTAATGTTCAACGTCTATTTTACAATGGTTTAACTACTTCTATATTTACATCTAAGTATTATACATCAGGTTAATAGGTTATATTTGTTTCTTTACGAAATATGGTTGATTTACAATGACGGAAAACTACTAGGAAGAAGTAGTAGTAGTATTGTCATGATTACACATAAGTACCTCTCAAAAATACTATTTAACTGCTTACACTTGAGTTATTTATTTACTTATGACGGGAAAATGTGAGAGCATATCTTAACATTACTTTTACTTGACATGCTTAGGATTAATAAGTTTGCATCCGTCAAAGACTGTCGTGGTAAAATTTGTCCGATCAAAAATGTCGTCTGATTCATTCGTCTGAATGGAAGCCACTAAAAGGTCAAGCTTTAAACAAGGATCTACTCCCACGGTTTATCGTGAAACTTTTTTACACGCAATTAAATTTTTGTCCACAGTCTATAGTCCATTGTCCAGTCTAGGTTTTAGCACATACCGAAAATTTTGTTTCAAAATTGTGAGTCTAATTAAATAAGTTTGTGTAAGGGACGATTGTTTTCTCATGACCATCAAATGCTCTGATTTCACCTATTGTTTGTTTTCTTTCAATTGGCTTCACCTGCCGAATACAGCGAAGGTCTGTGTGTATATATATACGCAGTACAATATAGTTGAATATATGGATATATTAATTGTATTTGCCAATTATTCAACGATCGTCGAGAAAGAAAACAGTCAAGCATATGAAGTTTATTTGTATTATAATGATGATGAACGTAGAATAAATAATTTCATAAACTTATAATATTTGTTTTACTCAAGGTTGACAGGCTGTGTTCGACACTCCAACCACACTCAACACACCGCATTTTATCCCCTCATTAACTTTTTATCTTCTCCTCCACATTTTATCCCCTCATCGGCGTTTTATCTCCTCATCCGCTTTTTATCGCCTTAACCGCGTTTTATCCCCTCGAACGCGTTTTATCCCCTAATCCGCGTTTTATCCCTTTCTCCGCATTTTATCCCTTTCTCCGCATTTTATCCCTTTCTCCGCATTTTATCCCTTTCTCCGCATTTTATCCCTTTCTCCGCATTTTATCCCTTTCTCCGCATTTTATCCCCTCCCTATCCGCCATCCGTATCTGCAGGCTCATCCGCCATCCGTATCCGAATTTTATCCTAACCCGCATAGAATATGGGTGCAGAATCAACAAGGAGATTAAATGAAGTGATAAATCGATGTACAATTTCTAAAGAAGAATTAATGCATTAAGTTTTGAAAAAAACGTTGGGAAAGCTAATGGTCTTTCTCCAATGTTCGTGAATAGCCAAGTGGCTCTTTAGCTAAGCAAATACTCCAGCAATTTTCAGCTTCTGCATTTTACAGTTTTTGAGATGAACTACAATCATTTCAATAATTAGAAACTAAGATATACTAGAACACCTATAACGTATTACAATGAAAGTCATACCAATGCTCTGCCTGTATTTAATAATTTGTCCGCAACAGACAGTTTGCGGTCATAAAAATTAAACTGTATTAGCCACTATTACCTTAAAGATAAAATAGGTGGCTTTCTTGAATGTTGCATTTCCAAACTAAGGAAAGTTTTAACAATATACGTGTCATTAACAATTAAGCATTTATAAACAATTTTATCTAAAAGTAAGAAGAATATGTTTTGTTTTTTTATTATCGTAGATATTTTTTACTGGTTATTCTAGATTGAATGAAAAGCCGTACACGTATTTTTAAAATTTTTTTTTCAGGATATATTGCTTGATTTTAAATTAAGATTTTACATTTATTATTTTTTTTTGATTAACTTAATGCTTTTAGTTCAATTCGTGCAGTTTTTCAGCAACCAGACAATATTTTATTGCTACAACCACTTGAATGTATGTTCTTCTATACAGTATACCAAACTCATGTAAATAACAAAATTAAGGTAGTACTAAATCACATTTTTATATCGGAGTTTAATTGACTGCTGATGAAGTCAAGTGGTTGTTAGCTGGTACAGCATTTTCTTGCAATTTTGATTTATTGTTTTTGTAACAGTCTAAAATTGATTTTTATTTGGCAAGGGTCTAAAGTGGAAAGTTAAGTTTAAGAGTCAAGGGTGAAAATCGAGAGTAAATATCAAGAGTCGAGAATAGAAGTAAAAAGTCGAGAGTCAAAATTTAAAGGTACTGAGGTACAAAGTATAATATATGCCGAATAAAGTGTTAAACTGCAAAATAAAAAATTGAAGGCAAAACGCCTTTGTGATACTTTTTCATAAACTAAATAACTAATTACTTGACTCAGTCAATCATTCCATTTGTTTACGAAATACTGTTGTATCCTTCCCATTGCTTAGAATTTACGGTAACTTAAAAGTCCGCTAAGCTATTGTGCTGTTTGCATCCAAACTTTGCCCCTATCAAACAAAGAAAACAAGACATGAGCTTCTATTTCCAGTTTGTGCTTTTGACATCAAGAGCTTGACATAATGAATGTCAATTTACAGGTCCAGAATTAAATTGCATTTTTGCTTCTGTTTTGCAAGTCAACCTTTTTGCGTGTCCAATGTCAATTTGAAATGTTGCTTCAATTAATACTCTTTTTTTGAGCGTATTTGACTTTCTAGGTATACAACGCAATTTTTGACACAATAAAAACAAAGCAAGAAATCATTGTCAAGCAACTTAATATGCACAATTCACACTATATTATTTTGCGTGAGCCTGTTCATTTCAGACAAATATTTTCAACCGATTACAGGTTTCGTTTTTTATTTAATGTAACGTCCTCTTGTGCCATGCAATAGATATATGCACACCACTTTTTGATATTTTATTGTATTCCACCAAGTTTAAGCCAAGTAGACTTTCAGAAACATGTTTATATATTTTCTAGCAAAAGATATTGCTGAACGATTTTGTTTTGTGTTAAAATCTAATTTTACGATTTTTTACCCTCGACCTTTAATCTCTATTCTCGACTTTTAAATTTCGTCAGTCAATTTTGTAAGTTAGACCATCGACTTCTACTCATAATTCTCGACTTCTACTCTTGACTCTCGTTATTTACTCTCGACCGATGAACCTCGCCGTTGCGATACACTCAATTTTAAACAATGACTAAACAACACTCTGAACCTGAATATTACCTCATTCACCTCATCGACGGTAATTGAGGTTCCAATACTTTAATTTTAGTTTATAAATGTTTGCTTTTCTCATTGACTTGTAGTTGTTGAATACCATGGTTTAGCAGCCGAAAAGTCGCCTAATATATTAGTTCTCAGTTGATCAACTATTGCGTTATATTATTTTTAAAAATAGAAACAGAATTGTTTCCAGATACTTGCGCAGCATTACGCACTTACGAGAATATATTTCTAATAAGGCAGTTAGCTGCCCAGCTCTTTCATTAGTTCTTCTATTTAGATTTTTCTGTGGTCACAAATTTGTGAAAACAAAACGTTTCGTAAATAAGAAAATGATGATGCTTAGTGCACTAGCTGCAACACATATCTATTTCTATATAAACAATATATCTATTTCTTTTGTTTTGAGACTCTATAACTTCGTAATTTAGTTGTTCCTTCTGAATTGGTTGCCGTCCCATTTTGTTACAAGTCAAATAAAGCTGAAGTTACTAAAGCAATTGAGAATGAACTCCTCAATGCTAATGAATCAGAGGCACAAACTCACAAGAATACTACAGAAATTGAAACAATTGGCGTGAGACTGAGGTATAATTTAATATAGTTGTGTATGGTGGTTACTTGCAACCGTTATCTTTATTTTGATATTTACTAAGCTTAACCAACAAAAACCCCTAAACTACGGGTGGACAAAATGTAACTCTTATAAAGTTTACAAAGTTAATAAAAAGCATCAATAGATTTCTTGCTGATTAAAAAGACGTTATATATCAAACACAGAAGTTTCGATATAACAATGCTTTATTCCTCATAACTCGCAATCACAGCTAATGAAGACTAAGTTCTAAAATACAACGTCATACTCTAATCACCTAGCAACTTAACATCAGTCCTTTATCAACTCGCCTTACACGGTTATGTTATTTTTCTGATTGCCGGCTTTTGCTAAGTTTTTTCTATTGATTTAATGACTTCGGAACTAGGTCATCCTAAAAAGGGGGAAACGCTAGCCCTTAATCTTGCGCCGCAAATAGTTTGTTTACAAGGAAATACTCCGATGAAAAAGCGACTGAGGAAATAACTACCTGACAACTGCTCGGCAGTTCAGCAAACAAAATAGAGAACATTTGTTGAACTATGTAATAAGCAAGCTAAAAGGCGAGAGCTCTGCTGCTCGAAACCTTTCAGATTTTCCTCGAGTTCTCGTATTATATTGATCTCTATTTCGAGTGACGACTCGAAGTTTTTCGGTCGGGCAAGCTAGTGAGACCTCCTTGGCTCGTCGCTCAGTCGAATGCCCTGAGCCATCTAAAAATGCAGATAAGGTGTCCGTGGGCATGGTCAATTTAGCGGGTAGGACTGCTTTTCAGAGTTTCTTTAAAACCGAAAGAAAAGCTGTGACTAAAGAGGTAGCTGTAGCGCTTCATGCGAGTATGAGTGCAAAAAAATGACTCGTTTTACAAAAAATTCTTGAGGTGCAATGCCGCAAGCTTAAAGCAGCTCTTAACCGTCGCCAGCTTAAAGTTCCTGGCCGTGAGTTTGACTTTCTTGCTTTTTAACTCAAACTATGGCATTTGGCTTTAATAGCTTAGTAACTGGCTTGCATCCAGCTGCTGTTTTAGTCGGCAATGCATCGCAAATTGTGCCTATAGTAGATTGCCGTAAAGGTTTTATCGAATGTTTTGCGGAATGCTTCGTCCTCGTCTAAACGAAGTTGTTTGTTCCTGGTATTCCGAATTAAAGCAAATATATATATATATATATATAAATAAATAAATTTCAACAAGTCTGTTTTTGAAGCAAAATAAAAATTGCAGTGCGGTGTTTGGGCCAAAATAAAAATTGCAGTGCGGTGATTGCAATTGCATTGCGGTGCAGTGCGGCATCGCATATAACAATTCTTTCATATGACAAAAAAATTTTTCAAAGAAATTGACAGTGTTGTTGGCGCCAGTTGCTATGGCAACTTTTTAAACAAATAATTACTGCCTTTGCGTAAACAACCGGCAAATGGTTCAGGCTGCTTTTCCCGGTCATGGGAACAAAGGCATTGGCCTGGTATCTGTCAATCTCATTACGAAATCAGTTTCGGGGCAGTTTCTTTCAATGTAGCACGAGTTAGTTATCGGTCTTCTCCATTTCAAGTCAAACGAAATTATTAGGTATGAGATGTTTTATCAAAAACGCTAACAATGAAGCAAATGGTTTTAAACAAAGTATATCATGCCCATTACTGTAGTTTTCAATTTTGAGTCATTTCAAAGTCGATTTCATGCTTGTAACAAACCCTGCATGCCTAATTACGGCAGATTCTATTAACCTGGAAATTATCGAGGGTTAAAAGCTAAATTTCATTCATCTTTCAGCTCAAACAAGCCTTCCATAACGTTGAACTTTCACGCTCAAAATAAAACATGAACAAAACAAACACAAATAAAACGCAAAAACTCTACTTCATCGCTGATTAAAACGGTGAACCTAAACGTGGTCAGTCCGGTTTTAGACAAGTTTGTGAGCAATTTTTTTTGCTCCCAAAACGCCACGGGAAATTGCAACTGGTTATTGACCCCATTCAGTACCAGCATTTCAAATTAGAAGGGATATACTTTTGATTTACTCCAGCCCCGATTACGTTTCTTTAGTTCAAGGAATCACCAGAAGTTCTTTCGCTTTCACTGGAAGGACAAGCTTTTAGAATTTGCTTGCCTCCCTTCCGGAGTACCAATGTCAATAAAAACTGTTGTGGCTCCTCTTCGTCAAACCGCGGAATTTAGTTGATTATTTACTAATTAATTTGTATGAATCATTCAGCTAAGGTCTGCTGAATGACATGGAATTAACTGCATGTATCTGTAGGAAAGTTCCAGCTTTGTCATTTATCTCGAGAAGTCATGCCTCAGTCCAGCTCAGCAACTGGAATTCGTCGGATTTATGGGACAATCTGACCATGACTCCAGGTGGAGTCCAAATGCTTCTGTATGTCAAAAACCAAAAACCAAATGCTTCTGTATGTCCAAAAACCAAATGCTTCTGTATGTCAGCCCAAAACAGTAAGTGTCAGTAAGGAAATTATCTCAGCTGATTTGGAAGTTGACCGCGTCCATTCAGGTCGTACTTGCAGTTCCTCTGTATGATTGATCCATTGGATTGATCACATCGACATCATGGACAAAACTTCAGTGAGGGCTTGTATAGACCGCTTGTTTTCCTGAACTAGGATTAGCCATATGACATTGGGCTTTAAATCCAATGCTCATTCTCAGTTGCGTCTTTTTTGCATTTGGACACTAGATCCTTTACCTCTAGCGGTGGCTGCTGCGTGGTAGAACTGATCTATTGGGAAAAACTATGCCTTTTCTCCTTTTTGCCTAGGTATGCAAAATTAAGCGAAAATACGGGATTCGATTTGGAAAATAGTTGATTTTCGTATCCAGCTCTTTTACCAGGAGCAACAACCTCCTATTGGGGGTCACGGGACTAGTCTATTGCACATATTTAACGATCCTTGCAGTCACAAGTAATCTAAACTCACCTTGGTAGTTTTGGCATCCAATACAGCTGCAGTGAACACTTCCGTCCGGAAAATTGGCATGGTTGGTGTTTCACAAGGAAGGTTGATTCATTTCGCCCCACTTGGGCGCATATCTAATCAGCTTCCTTGCAGGCTCGTTTGATGAAAGTTGTATGTGTAGATCATTTAATACTTATTGTTCTTTGTTGTCTATGGCATGCCTCCACATCACCACTTTATGGTTTTTCTAGTTGGTAAACATCCCTTCGTTAGTCGTTTGTTAATTAAAGGCGTCTTAAATTTGCACCCAACTCTGCGTTGCTAATGGCAATCTCGGAACTATGATACTGCGCTGGTTGCTCTTGTCTGTGTCTTTGATTACTGACTTATGAGTTATCTGTTTTACTGGCTACCACAGTACCAAAGCGTTCTTCGGAGATGAAACATCTTCGCCTTCGTTTTTCAGGGCTCCCTGCCTAAGGATCAGAATTTTAACTTCCAGGTGGAACTTGCAGAGTGTCAGAAACTTTAGGTGCTTCAATGTTACCTGTACTGTATTGTGCGAGAAAGCTCTTTTAGAACAGGCCACAACGATGACATTCCTAATAAACTTTTGATTAGCCATCACATACCTCACCGTCCTGTCCGGTCATGTTCGATTGCCAGCAGTAACGGATTACTAATTACGGGGCGTGTAGGCTAAGGCAAAGTTGCGGGCTCTATTTCTCCCACTAACGTTAGTTTTTCTTTGCTTTTGCATTTCCTCGTGCATTTGAACCGTATTGATAGTACGAAAGCCATTTTTCTCTGCATTCAATTGATTGTTAGATTTTTAACAGCATAAATGATCTAAGTTAAACACATTTAGCTAGCAAGAAATAGCAAAAACGTCCAAATCCCAATTTTCACTCGATGCAACGGGCCTCTTGAAAGCCCAGTCCTGTGGGCTTAAGACTACTTAGCCTACTGGATAATCAGCCCTAGCTGATTGCCAGATGGATTAAATCGGTTTTGAAATGCGCTGGCATAGATGGCTATATTTAAAGGTCATTCAAAGAGGTCGGCGTCCACCTCCAAGGTTAGAGTAGTTGGTGTGTCACTGGAAGAGATCAGGAAAATGGTGAACTGGTCGGGTACCTCTACATTCACTCGTTTCTACTATCGACCAAACTTTGACCGTTCAAAGGCTAGAGCAGTGTTGTCCCGAGCATTGTAATCATCGCATCTAGTTTGAGCAGATTGCTTTGAACAAGCATTGTTAAATCGAAACTTCTGTGTTTGATATATAATTGGAAATTTTGCAAGGGCGCGCAGCCCTCGCAGTAAAGTTGAGATAATATGAAAACACAGAAGTGAGATATAACAATCCCTCCCACCCTCCCATTACGTTACGTTATGTTTTCTTTTTAAGTAAATGGTTGAACCTGCGAGTATCGTTATATGTTTGTAGATTTAAATCGTTCAGATGAGTAGATTCCAGAGAAGGACAATTGATGTTTATTTTGGCTGATGTTTAGACAACTTCAGCAATAGTTATTTTTCAGTTGTGGTTCTACTCACAGCAGTCTCTGTCGTGAACATATGGTGGTCTGGAAGAACATTTGTTTGATGCTCCTTTTTTACAGATCATTATTTTGGCCCATCTATTGTAGTCTTTTTTTAGTTTAGCTATATATTACTTTTATCATGTTTATTCTCATTAACTTTATAGTAATTTGGTCGCTGATTACGAACTGATTTAAAGTCGCTAGGTGATTAGACTATGACGTTTTATTTTAGAACTTAGTCTTCATCAGCTGTGTTTTGCGAGTAATGAGAAATAAAGCATTGTTATATCGAAACTTCTGTGTTTTCATATAATCTCAACTTAACGGCGGGCGCTGCGCGCCCTTGTAAAATTGCCAATTTTATTATACCTTGTAGCTGCGCATGAACTTTAGCGCTGGCGAAATACTGGCGCACATTTATGACAACAATTTGCTGTTTTGCTCAAACAATTGTCTTACTAGACTTACCGCGGTTGGCTTTTCAACAATTGAGTGCCGTTGCTGTAATAAACGCCATGCTTTCACGCCATCTCTAGTTCCGTTAGGTGATAAACAATCATGTCGAATATGCATCAACTTGTTTTGTCTAGCGCCAACGTGATATGACACCAAACGCTGTTATTTCACTCGTTAATTGCTTCAATTTCTTTCTTTCGTTCTTCTTCTTTCGCGTGCCATTCGTTAATTTGCTCAGCTGTTGCTTCGGCACTTAAAGGAGTGATTTCTTGTGGTATAAATTCCTTGCCTAGTAGCGATTTGAAAAACCCTTTCGTTTGCATAAACGCTGTAAATTTTGTGCTCCATGCTGGATATTCTTCAGCATTTCCACTGAAACTAAGCCATTTAATTGTTTGACTGTTCATCTTCAATATTCTGGGCCCCATAACCTGTTAACTTTTAATGGATTGGTTGCGTTTATCGAAGAAAGAAAGTTCATTGTAAATAAGTGACAATATAACTTGGTGGTAAAAAAATACAATAATAACTATGATGATATGATCGTTCGACATACGTTTTAATCTTGTGACATTTAACCACTGTTCTCTTATGATTAACAATAACAGTGCTTATCCTTGGATATACTATAATATAAATATATATCAACAAAAGAAACGAATAAATGCACTAGTCCAGTTTTATTTTTTCTTATCACTCACGATCATGGCATAGGAAAGCAATCCGCTGATTACGACCTGTTACGTCAGTTTGTGATCGTAATTATGATTATGTAATCAGTTTGTACTTCTCAACTACGATTCCAACAACTCTGGGTATTTTCATGCAGCTGTGGGCTGTTTTCCGTAGTTTTTCAATACTACAATAGAGTTACCGATGACAAAAATCGCTGCATTTTGATCATATTTCATCATTTTTCATCGTATTTTTAGCTCTTCTATAAACTGATTTATCTCTTAGTTTTCATGTAGTTGCATGTTGAAAATTCTTCATTATTCTCGTATAAATCCACAATATACTTGTTCCTTATTTTCGAAAGTTGGTCCCTTAGTAATGGCGGCGCTCTTTATTTTTTGTCTTCAACTTTCGTGCTAGATGCTTGATCCAGTCTTATTTCGAGATCGATGGTCAAGTCCAGCAGTTGCATCGTTTGGCTTCGGATAAACCGCAGAAGAGAGATAAAAGGAGTTTAGTTGAGACGCTAAGGACTTAAAACAACCAAATTCAACTAGGATTTCACCACAATCTTCCCCAACCTGCGACTGCTATGTTATCAGAATTTTGTCTTTCCAACTTATCGTAATTGGTTGTTCACTTAACAGGGTGCGGCACATGTTGTTCCGGCTGTTTAACTTTTGAGAAATTTGGCTATTGTATGTGCAAATGTTCGGTTTTCAAATTATAGTACACGGCGCCACATGTATCTCATGCAGTTTTGAATCCTTAAATTGTGTAGGAAATACATTTGTTTTTTAGTCCATTTCTGTACACTTTAAATTTTTTTAAGATTACCAGCAGATGTATCGTACTTTGAGCAACCGCAAGTAGCAAGATGGGAGGCGTCTAAGAATCACTGGAGATTGGATGGTCTTAGTGATATACATTATGATGAACGTAAGTTGCATCAGACAGGTTATTTTGTCAAGAGCTATTTTGATATATCGAGAATGTCGCACTACTCTTAGCAATGTTAGCAATTGTCGTATTAAATTGCAAATATTTCACTTTTGTCTATGTTGAAGTATTTTGTTAATTTTATGTAATATAAAAATCCTTCTAGTTTATTGATTTTGCATATTTTTTCCAGAAACAAATATGTTGTCCTTTAGAGTGGATCGATTTGCGCCAATTGCAATATTTCAGGTACATTCTTCCAGCATACACTTTATAAATCCAATTTACTGGACGCAGTTCGTTTATCGAAGGGCGGATCCACGTGACTGACGTTTATAGTCCTAAAATTACTTATCAGATTTATTGATCGTAATTTTTTTGTGGTCATGAAATTCTTGATTATACTATCACTCGAAATCCATTGTCACAATTCTGTTTTCAACGGAATATTATTGTTAATATTTTTTTGTAAACAGATCGGTAGATTTTTATCTCATCTGTAATGATTTTAACTGAATGGCTGACAAACGCAATGACTTGACTTCTTTGGCTGATAAGGGAGTCCATGAAAGCTCATATGAGTCAGTTCATTTGTCAATAGCAAGATCAGTAGATGGTTTTCACTGATCTGGTAGAGAGTGGGGCGATCGGACTGATAATAAAGTCCGATTTCTGTCGGGTTATTGTTTTGTTTAAATTTTTGTCTTGTTGTGATTGGTTTGACGGGTTTCGACTAACAACCAACTGAGCTACAATAGTCAAGCTCACTGTCTTAAATGAATGTTTGTTCGTTCATAGTGATTTACAAAAGTCTTTTGAAAACTACAATCAGTGCGACCAATGAATTTTGGAAAATCTTTTTTAAATTCAAATAATGACATGTATGCTACCGTCCAGACTGCAATTTTTTCAAGAGAGTGAGAACTCTATGTAGGAATTGTGCGAAGGGCAAAGACGATAGTAAAAAGACGATGACGCTGATTAGTCATTGACGTTAAAAAGCAATTCATTGTTATGTAGAGATTTGTCAGCAGTAATTTACATTCAAAATCGTAAAAAGGACAACTGAACTGTATTCACGGCTGTAAAATATTAAAGTCAATTTATGCGAGTATGTGATACGATTTATTTAATATTGCGTATGGAAAGCTGATTGAAGCTTCTAAAATTGTATTGATTGGGAAATCTGAGCGGTAATGTAGCAGCAAAATCCTACATTCTTTTAAATGTTTATTAAGGGGCAAATAATCTGTGGCCATCTGGCACCATGCTATTATATAGCTTATTTAAACAAATGTTTGGAGCTTTTGGATAATTATCATTCAATCGTTTGTGATAACCTTACTCAATACATTCGTTTAAAATTGGGAAGTTGCGTATTATAACCAGTGGTTCTAAATCTGTCTGATATTTGAAGCTTTTAATTTTAACAATTTGACTGGGTTAGTGTCAAATCTGAGCTACTTCACATCCATGAAATGTTGCTCGTTGTCCCCTTTTTTTTAATTGATTACTTCATGTAGAGATGTGTTGATGCGCGGCTTAAACAAGATTGCTTGCTAAATATTCTTAAGAGCTGTTCATGTAGGAAGAATATTTTCTGTAAGTTAAAAATGTGTTCCTAGGCTTGCTATTGAACCGTTACATTTGGCAAAACAGCCAAGAAATTTTTATGCTCACTTCATAATTTTTCAGATGATTAGCCGCTCCAGCTATTGTAGAACTCAATGTGTATAATCGATAAATGATAGGAATTTCTTTAACAAACGATTGATAAACGTGAAACGTGCAACAAATCATAAACACTGAAATCTGATTGGCTAGCGAAATTTTTTGCAGCGAAAAAGTCGAAATCATTCGAACTCAAAATTTCGTCGCGGCGAACGGTTTGCGAATTTTATCGCCATATATATGTGACATCGTTTAACATTTGCGTATGCTTAAATTCCAAAATTATCGCTTCGCGCGAATAAATTCGCAAGTGGAAAATCGGCTTAATGCGAGCGCCAGATAGAAGAAATATTTTTGGTAGCCTCTGATCTGTGTCTTCTGCTATGTAAGGTCTACACCACCATCTCTAGCGTTTCCTCCACTTATGTTCAAGTCTGTTTCAGGGATTCTCTGAAGTAAAAACAAGATGCTATTTGATGTCTTCATATTCTTTGATCTCAGTCACTAAGTTTGAAGCAAATTATTTGCAATATCTATTCGTACATCCACCACAACGCAGTTTGTCTACCTGCCAGCACTGTAGGTCAACATTAATTTTCAGATGTGGCACTTTTTAGACATTAGCTATCGAATTAGCTGCTATGTGACCTAAAACTACTGCAACTGTTGGTATGATTAACCACGTTTGGCTGGACGAGATTTGCCTACCACATTAGTCTATGATGTTTCGTTCTCTTTTCCGCCACCCCATGAGATAAACTTCATTATAATAAAAAAATTGTATAGGTAGATAAGGCTTGACCTAGGTTATTGGGAAAGTTGTCTTTACACCTGACTTTCCCTTTTCTTTTCTTTTTTTTTCTTTCTTTTTCTTTTTCAAGCTAGTAATTTGAAAACTATCATGGATATTTTAAACATTGATTTTAGTTAACATTTTTATATTTGTATGCTGTAGTTATAAAAGTTGTACCATTTTTATCATTAAAAAAAAAAGATAAGGCTTGGAAATACATTACGTATTATTAGAATAGTAGACTTCGAAGTCTCAGAGAAAGAGAGAGAATCAAATAGATGAAAGAGCGTGTTATTTTTTTTTTGAAACTTGATTTGTTTTTGACTAAGAAGATGTAAATTGTGCTTTCACTTGGTTATCAAGCATCTCTCTGTGTCAATCGAGTTTTAACCAAATTACCGTAGGTAAAACCTCTAGTAACAAAATAATGAACACACTGAAAGTAAAGAAAATGCTTTTGTTTCAACTGTTACTAGTAAAGTCTTAAATTTACTGGGTGTATTTCAGAGTGGGGTGGGGGAGATAGCAAGTGCACTTGTTACAATTTGACAATGTCAATTTCACAGCAATAAGTAATTTTTTTAGAGAAGAGTTCATTTTACAAGTGATAGAAAGAACAGTTAAATATTTCTTTCTTTTATGTGTTAATTTAGGCCCGAATTAATAGCTTTTTAATCAATTACATACACTGCAAAGGTTTTTTTAGTAAGTGGAATACCTCCCACTTTTTCGGATGGTCACCCCTGTTTGTACTTTCCATTCTAACTTGCAATCTTTTTCGCAGTTTGCGTTGAAGACAAAACTTGCCGCAACATTTCTAAAAAAAATTCAACTGAGATTTCACACCTGGCTTTTTTTAGGATGTATACGTGAACATGCCATTTCAATCGTGGGAAATCCGCCCACATGGTCTTAACAGCTGTATCTTCACGATTGTTGCAGCTGCTATTGATCTTGAAATTGAAGTAAAGGTTTGTATACCAATTTATATTTCTTATAGCAATAGTCTGATCTCGTAAAAGGAAGAGACCTTTTTAGTCTAATAGATTTTTGACACAAAATTTTAAAAATTTTGGTGTATACTGCCGTCCAAAATTTATGATCAAAGTTGCTTTAAGCAATGTAGATATGATCTTCGCAATTTAAGCAATTGTCTCATCAACCTGAAAAATTCAGGTGACTCAACGTGATACGAACCCATGACTTCTGCGGTGCCGGTGCAGTTCTCTGACCAACTGAGCTATGAAGTCACACAGTGGAGAGCAGGTCAATTTGTTTGGCTAATGTTTTCCCGTGAAAGGAATGTCATATGAAAGATTGTTATATGCAGTGCGGTGTTTGAAATTAAATGTAGATATGATCTTCACACTCTGCTGGACAATTTAAGCAATTGTCTCATGAACCTGAAAAATTCAGGTAACTCAACGGGATTCGAACCCATGACCTCTGCGGTGCCGGTGCAGTGCTCTAACCAACTGAGCTTTGAAGTCACACAGTGGAGAGCAGGTCAAATTGTTGGGCTAATGTTTTCCCGTGAAAGGAGTTAATACATTGGTGATAAATGCCAATTCAATGTGTACACTATCGGTGCCTTTCTTCTATTAATGTATTGTTTATGTTTGTTGTTAATAAAAATACCTCACGGCTTTGTAGGAAGGAGTTTGCTGTGTAGCACAAGCTAAAGATAACATCCAGCGCTTACGACATCTTCAAGGAATTTGGTTGACTCCTAAAGAGCTGATAAAGGTGAGTTATTTTCTTGTCATAGTGCTTGAGAAATAAATCATCAATAAAAATGAAAGGAGACACCACTTGTTTTACGTGCACATGTCATCTTTTACATTTTTGTAAACAGTTTATTATTTTCTTCGTAAGCGTTGAGTTGTTAGATTGCTTTTTTTGTACTTTTATATACCTTTTGCACTTTTGCACATGCGTTATCCTTTCTCACAAGAACATTCATTTTGACATTCACTATAATACTTTCGAATGCCAATTTTTTATTCTCAATTATGCGTCAAAAAAAACAGAAAACCTTTCACAAAAAAACCCCAGCCAATCCTTACAAATTAAGGATATTGTTTCTTCCATTTTTTACAACAGCTGTTTATATATGAACTGGGCATTTTAATTGAAACTTTGAGGAAATATTTGTAAAAATATCAAAGAAGTATGTGAAATAGGCCTCATAACCAAATAGCTATAGATTTCACCATGTGCTATAAGTGTATTTCATAAAAAGTCCGATTTCAATTTCTTTGTAAGATTCTTTAGCAAAAAAAGCACAAGGTTACTGCATAAGCCACACTGTAGCTATAAAAGGCATTATTCTGCTCTGTGCAATATACTACAGTACAGTAATTACATAAATTATTAGAAAAGAAATTATGACCACTATTCATATTCTTACACTCATGAGTCTTTTCTTGATTACGAAACCTCGAGTAATAGAACTAATTAGGTAGAAACTGCAACTGCTATACATATTGCAACAGAGTGTTAGCTCAGCTTAAAACAATTTCCATTGATAGATTACAAATCGATTATAAAACGACATGGAGCTATGCATTGTACTTACTAAAGGAAACAAGCTGAGGACAAAGGCTTCACTTTTCTCTTTCCTTATCCTTAAGCAGAAAAACGTGTCTTCTTGTATTGTATTTGAGAACTTCATTACTTTAAAACGTTTAATCGATTTTGAGTTACTATATATGTGGTAAAAAGGTTTAATCTGTTAATGACGACGTTTATTGTGGAAAATTTTCAAATAACTTTCATCAAGTTTTATCATAATTTCGTAGAAGCACTATCACTAATGCGCATTTAATATAATTCAAATATTTTATTCAAATATCTTATATATTTTTACTAATTTAATGAATCTTGCTTTCTTCTTTAGAAGTAATGTAGTGAGAGAACTATTCTCAGTAATCTTTTAAGTGTCACACTTTTATTATTAATTGTTTTATTAATATTGTTATTAATTTCTTTAGAAATAAGCACTGCATGTTTTTTGTTAAATTTTCTGCTGATATCAGTTTCTCATTTTTAAATCTCGTGTTTTCTCTCGAAATTTAAACAATAATGCTTGAACTTTTGTTTCAATTCTGTAATCGAGAATGATGATAAAATATATTTTATTAACGCTAAATTATTTTTTATTAATAATAGCTCTAATTGGTGCATTTTGAGCTTGTCTAGACTGGAAATCGACGATTTTTTCTTCTCATATCTGTACACTACTAACATACAAATTTTCTCATTATTTATACTTTATTCGTCAAAGCTTTCTCTTCCAAACATTTGATGTTGTTTTTCATTTATTTTTAGACAAAAAAAGAGCATCCACCCCTCCCTCCATCATTACTTTAACATTTCATTTTTCCTTCGATCATTAACATGCACTCCGTTTTTTATTCTTATTAAAACCAAAGTTTCTGAGATTGGTGTTTAAAAAGTGTCTGTCATTCGCACACCGGAGTATTTGTAATATTTGGATCTTTCCTTTTATAGAAAAGCTATCTTTAAGCCCAATCAATCCATTGTATTCTTTATTTAAAAACCGCCAGTGATCCTGCTACTGACTTAAAAATTCTGTTATCTTCCTCCAAGGTCAATCACACACTTAGCGTTCTGGGCAGTTAGCCTTTATCAACTACGGCCTTAACTCCTCCAACCCCTCTTTATCTCTTTAATCCCATTTCATCATTAACTCTCTTCCTACCTTTCAATTTTTATCTATTATCACTTAACTGTCAAGTAATTTATAATACCTGCTTAATTACTTGCATATTAAATTCGAATAGTTTTCTTTACAACAACAAATGAATCATTTAAAACAGTCGTAATATAAAATGGATGTTCAAATCATTTGCTATTTTTATTGTTTTGCTAGGAAATAAGCAGGAATATTTTCGGTTGACATGCCAAATTATCACATCGTTATATTGATATAAGACGATGTAAAACAAAGAATTTTACAAAGTCTTACCGAGATCAACCGACCTTGCACAGTCGACGGAAAAGATGCTATTTCTTTTCATACACTTTTACGCTTTTTCCACTTCTGTTGTTTGTTTTTTTTTTCTAAATTTAGTCTCATGTACGTCTTTCTATTTCTTCAGAATTTGAAGTGTGCAGGAGTAAACGTATTTCCAGCTGTAGATGCGGAAAAGTACGTTAGTGTAAATGTCAAGGTAAATAAATCTTGTGGCTCCATATGAGAATTAAGATTGATGACCTATTGAGGCAGATTCAAAACTCATTTCAATTGTTTAAGAGGTATTTCCCATTAACTACAACATGTCAACAAGCGAATGCCTACAAGCGAAAGATTTTTTTTTATAATATATACTCCTTCAGCATCCCTTAATAGCTGATTCTTTATCCGACAGAGCAACAATCACTCTCCAAATCTCTCCAAATTTTTCTTAATTTGTTTCTATTTGATTTTTTTACTTTAAAGAATTTGGTGTTAGAAAAAAACTTGTACGAGCAAATGTCCCTGACAGCCTCCGCATTTTCTTATTGTTGGAGTCGCTGGAACACAGTTAGTGGTACAGAAAGGATTATTGTACAAGCCGTAGAACAAGAAACAAACAAGCAGCCCTTGGACGTAAGCAAGCAGATTATTTTATTAATGAAAAGTAGCTTCAGAGGTTATGTTTTCATATTCTACGAGGCAATATCCACAAATAATTTTGATGCAATTCATTGGCCACAACCTAGCACTCAAAAATTAAGAGTTTAAGTTATTGTTATGGTTAGGAATCAGTTTTGCTTTATTTTAGAACACGGAATCTTTTTTTTTCACTGTGACTTTCGATTGTATGACAGTGTGAAACGTCGATTTTATGTGACAACCCTTTGAAAGTGCGCTTATGAAATAAATGCTCATTTAACGGAAGCTACTTTTCTTCCTAGAAATGGACAGATTCTTTAGTAGAGAACTAACGTCTGTGAAACAAGCAATATAGCTAGTATTTTGTTCTTTCATGTGAAAACATTGATGAGCTTTACCGAAACAAATGCATGCCTTATTCCTGGTAAGGTTATGGACGGTTTGGTAACTTTGTTAACTACGATTTAGTAGGCATTGGTTTATGTTATAAATCCAATTACAACACCTCCGAAAACCAATCAGCTTGACAAAGTAATCGCTGGATATAAATCATTCTTGAAGCGCTTTTTATTTGGCATGTTGAAAAACATTACAAACTTTGCGTTGTTCTTGCGTCCATAAAGTGAGAATACAGTTTGCAGTCGTATTCCACCATGTTGTGTGGTTTGTCTTTAGGATGACTGGTCTATCTACATGGCAAAAACTGAAAACTGCTGTAAACTAAAATTAAATGAGTATGATGAAATGTTCACCGATGATGTGGCTGAAAATACTAAGGTAACTCGCATACTTCTTAAACCTTTTACTGCGTTTTTGATTGCTTTGTAATGTTTTATTAACTAAACGTTTTATAAACCAAACATGGCGCACACTGTGCGGGTAAATGTCTGCATAAAATTGCCGTCCTGTCACAGTTAAGATTGTTTTTCTTTTATTTGTTTGTAAAAAAAAATGCGAATAAAAGACGACTTTTTAAGTTATCATTTTCAATAATATATGGTGGTGTTGAATGTGTAGCTCATTTTGGTGCAAAGTTCACAGTAGACTAGATCGAGACATTTTTTTCAAAATTGTTGTATCATTAGACCTTTTAGACGAAGCAATGCATTATGGATACTTAAGATCATATTTATTGACATTATATGGGAACTAATAATGTGTTAAGAATGTACAATGTGGACGTTACGCATCCGGAAAACCGTTTGCGTTGGCGTGCTATTAAGTGTTAAGGAAATGGAGTTCACTGTTTACATTACGTGCGTGTTCAATATTGCTGTTTTGATAATGGCTTCTTTCAAAAATATACGAGGTGCATTAATGCTTGGCTATGGTAATGGTATCATAATGTACGATGCTTACACATTCAACAATTTGCCTTCTCCGACAAAGCTTATTATAAGTTTTCATTCGAAACCAAAGATAAATATGACTGTGTTGCTGATTTTCGTGTGGAGAAAGACGATTTACCAATGCTGCGTCAGGCACTAAGCATGCCCCCAGTATTTACGTATACGCAGGAGACTTCTTGCGACTGAATGAATGGCATGTGCATATTTTCAAAAAGATTTTCCTACCCATGTCGGTATTCTGACATGATCCCCATGGTTAGAAAACCTGTGGCTGAGCTATGCATGATATCAAACTGGCACTGATGTGGAGATGGGTAACGGGTTACAATAAACTTGCATGGCTTGAAGTCTGAGCTTTTCTATATCTATTAACTGTCACTTGTTGTACCAAATTTCCAACTTAACTCATATCATAGAGGTTTCAACGGGGGTCTCTAGGGGGGTCTATGCCTGACAACTTGGTAGAAATTTTTAAAGACTGTATCTGTTTTTTGAATAGCATTATTGTAAAATAAATTTTACGTTCCTAGACATGCTAATGAGCCATATATTTGGCATGATAATGAGCCTAAATATTTGGCAAAACATTCAAGTATTGTTCACTCCATTTTTTTTTGAAAAACACGTAAGCAAAATGTGTTGTTTTTACGCAAAAACGATGCCCACAAAATACATTTTGTATTGCTCTAAAACGCTGAAAATGGCATTTTCAAGGCTCTGAAATTCAAAATTTCTCAGGGGAGAATGCCTCAGACCCCCCCAGGTGCGGAGCGCCTCGGACGTTTTATGACTGATGTTTGAAAAATCCTAGATCCGCCCCTGAATGAGAACATTTCACGACACCAGTTGAGTGGTTATTTGGAGATGTCAAAAACTATTTTCAGTTTTCTGACATTAAAAAATTATTTAGAAATTGCTTCTAGTTAATAGGAAAGATGTATGTTGCATGGTTCATCATAAGAAATTTCTTAACGTGTATACATAGAAATACCACCTCGAAATTTTTTTGATTTACAGCCACGAAAACTCGATGAATACTTAGAATGATTAGTATATTCATCGCGTAAAAATTACAAAACTTTTCTTTAACACAAGTACCTTATCGTATCATTGATTTTAACAAATTTACAAAACAGAAACTATAATAGTAACAATAATAATTTTAACTTGTAAAAGCTTGTTCCAAGTCCTGAAATACCTACTTCTGAAACAGCTTTTCCATGAACACCTTTAAATTATGACAATTTATTTGCATTTTCATGAATTGCCTTTGCTATTCATGCTGCGCTATTTGAGATTCTTGTTGTTGTGATTTGTTTTTGCACAGCGGGCAAGGATCGACTTTTTGTTTTTCCAGATCTTGCCGAGATTTCTTAAGCTTGAGCTCTTCCTTTTTCTGTTGTGTATCTTTGTCATCTTTTTATAAAAAATATCCAATGCATCCTTACCACTTCGTCGCGTCTTTTTTGTTGTTACGTCCCTTTGGCGTTTCTGCTTTCATCTAGCTTTTTCTTAGCTTTTTTTCTTATGTCTGTCGCTATAAATTTTTCCTTGTTTCTTTGTTCCCTCTTCCTTTGACTGACTTCCGCCAACTCTTCACCGGCTTTCTCTTCTAGTGACATGATCTCATCAAGAGCTAGTTCTAGCTCTGATGGATCTGGGTTGATAAAAGAAGCTTTTTCTTCTGCTCTTATTTTCCTTTTTCTACGTTTTATTAAAACGGCTTTTGTCGACATTAAAGTCATACTCGTCACATTCATTCAATTTTTCTGCGATTTTTTCTCAAATGGCACTTCTCTGAGTTGATTTTTTCTTTTCACTTTATGAGTTTTCAGTGAGTATTTCATGGCAAAGTATGATATCTTTTGAAGGTGTCCAAGACATTCTACTAGAAAAATATCATACAGTATTGCAACTTGATATAAAGGAAGAAGTAATTATTCTTTGAGAAATTTGGAATGAGGTGATCTATTCAGAACTAAGCCTCCCAAACTGGGGTCTTTACAGTTAGATTGTATGCTATAAATAGGTAGCAGAAGGCATGAGTAAAGGCTACTGCATGATACATAATACCACAACACATATATTATTCCACATTATGGTAAATGCATTAAAATTCGACATTAACATTCCATCATAAAATGTAGTTTTATAGAATATAATTTTTACTAATGACTTTGTAGATATCGTTTTTTCTTTTGCTGCAGTTGCTTTTTCTCCCAAGCTTTCTGCAGTAATAACAACAAAACATATGCCTATCAAAGTAAACACAATCACAAAAGTAATAGATAATGGCAAAATTTTGCCACAATACTTTCGTTCTTGCTTGGACGTCGATTTTCAATTTTGCGTCTTCTTCGCCAGTGATATGTATATTACACTGGATAACGCATCCATGTATAAAATATAGTACGAACGTTGGTTCATTTGCTTACGACCTTCGTAGGGGGTATTGGTCCCGTTTTACTATACTTTTGTATTACAAAATCTCACATTTTGCGTTTTTATTCGTTTTACATACCTTTGATTCGATGGAAAGTTTATCAAAGGGGCAGGACGACTGGCAACGATATTTCATCTTAACAAGTTTGTCTTCTTGGCTTTATAATGCCAGAAAATTGAGATGGTACATGGTCGACCATCATTGCTTTGAAACAAACTGGAGATAATATGATGCTGCTGCTTCTTAAAAAATGTGGAAATATTACAATATCTTAATACTGTCACGAGAATTTCATTTTAACATTTCATTTTTCCTTCGATCATTAACATGCACTCCGTTTTTTATTCTTATTAAAACCAAAGTTTCTGAGATTGGTGTTTAAAAAGTGTCTGTCATTCGCACACCGGAGTATTTGTAATATTTGGATCTTTCCTTTTATAGAAAAGCTATCTTTAAGCCCAATCAATCCATTGTATTCTTTATTTAAAAACCGCCAGTGATCCTGCTACTGACTTAAAAATTCTGTTATCTTCCTCCAAGGTCAATCACACACTTAGCGTTCTGGGCAGTTAGCCTTTATCAACTACGGCCTTAACTCCTCCAACCCCTCTTTATCTCTTTAATCCCATTTCATCATTAACTCTCTTCCTACCTTTCAATTTTTATCTATTATCACTTAACTGTCAAGTAATTTATAATACCTGCTCAATACGTGTTGACGGTGACTACAAATTTTAGAACTTTTTTGGTATGTAATTTTTAAAAGAACTAAAATTGTCAATGTCTGTTATTTAAGTTTTCATTTAGCTTAATTTCATAATTTCAAATTATTCTAGTATGGATTCCCGTCAGTTTGATGAAATTTGTGTGAAATTACAGCATATAATTCAGAAGAAAAATACAAACATGAGCGACGACGTATCTGTCCATGACCGTTTATACATCACAATACGATTCTTAGCATCTAGTTGTTCGTACATAGATATCATGTATAGCTTCCAAGTGTCAGTTTCTTCCATTTCGACTATCATACCTAAAGTCTGTGAAGTCTTCTTTAAAGATAAGTATTTACACCCACCAAGCTCTGCTCAACAATTGGAAAAAATTGCACACGAGTTTCGATCAAGATGGCGATTTCCACATGTTGTTTGCGCCATAGATGGGAAACAATTAACATGTGTGCTCCTCCACACTCTGGGTCAGAGTATTTTAACTACAAGAAGCAAGTCGGCATTGACTTGTCAGTCATTGCTGATGCAAATGCAAACTTTCTTGCATTTGACCTTTGCTCTCCTGAAAGCCAGTCAGATGGTGGAATTTTTTAAAGAGAGTGGCTTAAAGAAATTGTGTAAATCCAGTGACTTTCCTTAACCAGCGAACCTCGAAGGGAGAACAAGTCCTTTTCCTTTCTAACTTTTTGATGACGAAGCCTTTGCTGTGCAAATTAATTTGATAAAACCATTTCCTCATAATTCAGAGATAGGGGATGAGTAAATATTTAACTATCCCCTTTTAACGGCTCGACCCATTGTGGAGAACGCTTTTGGTTTGCTATGTACCAAGTTTCAATTGCTTCTTGGAACCCTTGAACTCAATGTTGACAATGCCGTGGAAGTAGTCAGAGCTTGCATTGCATGACACATTTTTTTCATTGTGAAGATTGACAAGTGCTACTTACCACTTGGCTCAATGGATACAGAATGAGAGTTTGGTAATTTTATTCCTGGATTATGGAAGAATGAAAGTACCAACAATGATGAGGTTTCTGTCCTACAGCTATGTCCTAGGACACATTGGTATACGTTACAAGCAAAAGATGTGAGGGATGATTTAAAAAACTTTTTTCTGAAGAAGGTGCTGTTGATTTTCAGTGTGCAATGAGCAACTAGAATTTTGCACAAATTACGAAGACCCCTAAATTTTGTAATATATATTCAAAACTTTTGAGTTTAACTTTTCGGAACAGTGTTATCTCATATCCCTTAGAAATACATGGAACAAAACAAACAGGAACTTCATTTTATCACACTAATATTTTGTATATATTTTGTATAATGTTTATAATCAAAAAATAACCTGTTGCATTGTCTATATAGATTATTTTTAGTTAGTTCAATAAAGTGAAAGTTTTTATAATCCAATAGCACAACTTTAAAGACTGTGAATCAATGTAAAATGACAATGCCTTTTTGATTTGGCAAATATACTTTTTAGATAGAAGCCATTAGTTTTATATTCTTAATTCCTTCCACTAAAACGTTCTTATACTCTGTATTTTGGCTAATAATAACATTAAATTAATTTACGTTCACAAAGCGACAATGCAGCGTACCTTTTATGCTAGCTAGATGAAGATTTGGCATTTCGTCTTTTACCTCCTTTAGCACTTCTGCATATTGCGATTTTTTTATGTTTCTGTTTTTGTATTCATCGCTCTTTAGTGTTCCAAAGACTTTTCATAGACTGTTTCTAGCAGCAACGAAGCAACGCTATCAAGCAAACTAACTCTATCATTTCATGTCTCACTGCTGGAGTTCAAATTCGCAATTTTGCAAATTTTTGTCCCATTTATTCACGTTTCATGTATACCTACAATTTTCAATATGTAAAATTTGTTGCTAACACGCTAGCTTTTGGACAATCTCCATTGCCATAAAAATTGCCCAATTTTGCTCATATACCCGACCGATTAATAATTTTCACATAAAAATTGTCAAATAAAAGTTGCTCGTGTGAACTAGGTATTATTATCAACATGAACATCACACTTTAAAATGGCCAAAAGAAACAGTTGCAAGCATTTTAAATTGTTATTTCGACCGAATAAAATTATAACCAAGTTTCATTGAAAGGTTGAAATAGCTAATTAATTAATATTTGGTAAGAAATAGGAAATGTCGAAGTCTGCCCAGGACAACTTAATTGACCAATTCGTATAGGGTATTTGAAACCTTTACTACCATTTTCAATAAGTCATAATAAAAGTAAATTAATATGAGCAACTTGCACTACTTTGGCCACTAATCTCTACTGCTCTTAAAATATTTGTCGTCAAATTATCAGTTACCACCGATGTAATTCTATGAAGTGTTAAAATAGGATTAAAACAAAAACTTTCACTTGATTTATTCAATATGACTCGTTTTGTATGCATAAGATTTCTGTTTTAGTATTCTTTATCGAGTTCCCTTACTGTTCATAAAGGGAAAAAAATATATCTTCCTATGTAAAATCATTTAGCTTGTACTAAGCACCATTCGATGACGGGGAAGTCTGGTGTAAAGCAATACTGCAATATCATGTGGTGTTCTATTAAACTAAAAAATATATTTTTGTTTTATATTTTGTAAAGTTTTAATTGTGTAATGCTACCGAAATATTGTTCACACGATTAACATCTAGATTTCATATTTGAAGAAAGTAAGAAGGTGTTAGTCAAGCCTTTAAAGGGTCAGCCCAATGACTGATGTATATAGTGTAAGAGGTCAACGCAGTACTGAAGTATTGGGCTGACCTCTCTATTGCTTTAAATGTAGTAAATAAAATTTAAGTACTTTTGCACTTTCATGACTTTGTGCAAGAAAGCTTGAAGTTTGAGCATATTTTGTGTAATTTCTTTTTATATAGCTTCATGCAGACTTGTATCACATGGTGCTAGATGGTGCTTCCAGATCATCCATTACAAAAGTCCGCGACACTTCATTTAAGTTCTTCAATAGCGTTTTACAACTTTTGAGTGCCACCAAAGTTCTGACGTATTCTTAAGGAATTTTTTTACTGTTTTTTTTGTTTAATCTGGCAATTTTTGCTGTTTCAACGATTCTTTATAATTTTCTTGTCAATGGATTCCATGGAGAGTTAACATTGGCTACATTTGCTTAGAAGTGGACGCTTAGCACAAGTATAAGTAATTTTCTTACGATGCATGGTAGTCAGCATGGGTAAATTTTAATCCATGTATGATAGTTTGCTAAGTCGACGTAATTGATATATGTTTGCAATCATTAATTTGTTTCAATTAGCAACACAACTAGAGTGAAGGTGTCTCCACCTCTTTTATTTCAGTAGCTAATAACATGGTTGCCTCGCGATCTTTTGTTATCACCGGGACGTTTACTGACGTATTTTCCTTAGTGCCTCACAATTTATGTTGTTGAGTGGTAACAGAAATCGTCTTTCCCTCACGTCACAAACTTTCCTGTCACTTACTTGGGAAAACCAGTAATGAACCATCAATAATTTCAGCAATAATTAAACTACAATATATATTTGCCAAGCAATTCATTCACAGGTTCCATGAACCAATTTAAAAACAGAATTCACCATTAAATAGCTAGATGAATTTTTCTAGTCCATCACTGACGATGAACAATGTCCGCTTCAAGCAACATAAATGGTTGTCAATATTAAAGTAAGTGAGCTCAAAATTTAATAGTTACTGTCCAATGCACTGATTATTCCCTCCGCAACCATGTTTATTACAAAGTAAATCCGTGCTTTAAGAGATATGAGTGTTTAAATGCTCCTTTAAGCCTCAAGAGGTTTAGTAAAACTACCTTAGGCTGCGCTCTCGGTTTTTGACTAAACCATCCTCGTGTGCCGGACATTTTACCCTTAATATTACTGAAAGCATGTGCGTTTACTTATAATACAGAGCTTAAGCTGGCGTTGTTTTAAAATATAAAGTGTTAAGCGGAAGTAAATTCGACGATTTTGATGACGTAGCTATCTTTGAGGCGAAGTCACAGAATAGATAATTAAAGGGAAATGGCAATATATTTTTTTTATAATTATTACAGTAAATTACCCATAAATTTGAAAAAAAAAACACCAAAAATTTGCCATCGCTGTCTTTTGTGTAGAAAGATTTATTGATTGAAATAATCCTCTCTTTATTGATTTAAATCGTTGCGTGTTCGTCGCCATTTTGTAAAGATTTTTATTATGCTAATATCTTCATGTTTTTGCAAACTGACGTCACCACAAGGTAAGCGTTCTTCGGCAATTAAAAGTTTTGTGTTAATATGGTAACATATAGGCATGAATTGTTTATTGCTTTAATAGCAGTACTGATAAAAATCCTGAGAAAAAAATTCACTTTTTCTAGGTTCGTAAAACAATTAAATCCCTGTTGTGACGTCATGCATACTTCCATAATAGCTTTCTTTTAAATTAAAGATGGCTCCTTTCTTCAATTTATTTATATTTAAAGTCCTTTAAGGAGAGATCTATAGAGAATTACGATGTCATGTAAAATTCATTTTCTATTAAATATCTTGAATACTTGTTGGTAATAAAAAAATTGGTTGCCATTCCCCTTGAACAGAAGGCCTACTCGCCTTAAATCGTGGCGCAGTTTTTCACTACGCATGCGTGACTTTATAGCAAGATACCCTCACAAAATCAATATTGAATAGTATTGCACGAGAATGCTATTTCGAGAAGGGTTATCATTGTGCAAAGACGAAAAGGTTCCAAGCTTTTTTAGTGCAAAAAGTTATATTTGTAAAAACTTCTATATTTTCTATTGCAATCTAGGGGAAGTATCTTGCTGGAAGGCGTGTCTGCTTTAGAATTTGTTTCAGAAAAGGGGGGACACGAACATGAAAGCTTACGATACGAGTGGACATTCTGTTACGATATCTATTCATTAGCTAATTTAAAGGTGACAACTTAGTTGTCTTGGCGTTTTTGTTTTTTAACAGAAACTTGACAGGTAAACGTAATTTATTTTTATAAAAATGTGTTATATTCACATATTATTAAAAACCGAATTCAATATAAGGCAAAGGAAAGTTTAGCTACAGACAGTGATGGCATCTGAAAGTACTCAAGGAGTTCAATGGTAAAACATGTTAGCTAGGTAAAAACCTTATAATTATGGTTTATGCTAAAAGGTGGAGTTAAAAGCAAATCATACCTTAAATGTTTACATTATTTTTGCGAGTTTTCATGTAGATGTTATTGAATATTTCTATTTTTATTTTCAAAGTGAACAAAGTTAACATTAAGTCAGCCTAATAAATATCTTTACATCAGAACCGTCGTCTTGGATCCTCATTCTCATGACGCTCGTGTTGACAAAAACGTTGCTAGCTCAAGTTTATTAATAATGCAATCATGTAACAAAGGTTCAGGAGAGAGACTAGTATGCTAATTAGAGGACTGCTTTGTTTTAGAAAAGATTTTATTTTTAAAATAAACAGCAGGTAAAAGCTGATTATTCGAATATTGAACCCATCCTATATGTGCTGTAATTTTTCCTTGACTACAAAACTTTTTTATGCAACTTTCGAGTGACTGAATTTTCGTGCTTATAGATCGTATTTTTTCTGTTTTGTTGCGAGATTGCATGAATAACGCGTGACTAACATGAAACCTATCAACCAATCAATATCTTTCTTTGATGGTTAAACCTGTTAGGGTTAGGGTAAGAGTTGGAGTCAGGGTTAGGTGCATTATAACTAGTGACACGTGTTAAGAAACATGATTTACTTACATAATATATTACAACATGGAGATTGCTTTACCGTTAATTTCGTTATTTGATACGCGTTTTTATACATAGCAAATGCAACCAAATACTGCTCTTGAGCAACCCGTGTGCAGGCTTGGATCGTGCCTTGTTACAATTTAAATGAACTAGAAGATAATAATATTTTCATAATTTCGGAGCAGCACAATTATGATAATAGATTTAGTTTAAACGACTATGTTTTTTAATTTTTGAAATGCATACACGTTTTGGCATACTATGCCATTTTCTGTGCAGAATAAGGAACAAAATATTTACTAAGAATTTGATTTATAATGAAATGCATTCGCATCCATCTCTTTTGTCAATCCATACATCATGAAAAATAATGCAATATTAGAGAGATTAGTGATGCTACGTTTCTTATTCTTCTTATTCACGAAAGCCTCTTAATCAACAAAATGAAATTATCTCTTAACGTCCAAGGAAGCTCTATTGTTCTTCAATTGCTATAATCTGATTTCGTCCGTCCTCATGTCTGTATACTTTACGATTGTTTGTGAGTTTTTTTTTTCTTTCGTGTTTCTACCTATCCCACGTCATACCCTCTTATCCCATATTTACTCTCACGTTTTCATCCCACCATGTAATTTATTATTATGTAAATAGCTATTACATATATATATCCCTCTATACTTGTAATTCAACACTATCTGATGATGTCTTGAGAGTCAAGACGAAACGTTAGGCTTCTAAATAAATATTTCTTTTTTTATGCTATTTTTGTATTAAATGGCTCTTTTAAAAGCACTTTGCTGGGCTTTGATATTTATATTAAGAATTTGCAGAGCTTTTTGAATATGGCATGGGTTTAACATCCATTCACCTTCACGGTATATTTTTCTGGATTCTTTATCTGCGACAATATTGGTTGACCCTAGTAAATGGGCAGCTGTAAGTTTAATCTTATTTAACATTCAAAATTCCAAAATATCTACCACCAAAGCATGTAACTTGTCATTGTGGCTAGTACCCATATTGTTTATGAAAAACATCGTTGTGCTGTTGTCAATCATTATTTTGACATGTTTCTCTGCTATAGTTGAAATAAAACATTTAAGTGCCAACAAGGCGGCTTTCATCTCAAGGATGTTATTATGATCGATTGTCTCCTGTTTGCACCAGTTTCCTCTAGTTGATTGGTGTTCAAGAGCTGCCCCCCAGCCAGTCATAGAGGCGTCAGAGTATAGTACCAAGTCAACTGAGGGTATCAAAATATTTTCAAAACAACCCTGTAAATTTTAAGCCACCAACGGAATTCAGTCTTAGCTTCCTTAGAAATAATCATGGAGGCTTAGTAGTTCCCCTTATATTTCGATAATGCTATGGTTTTATCTTTTTCAAGTTTGCGATAGTAAAGTGGTCCATATTCTACAGCAGGAAAACTCGATACCATATGGCCTATCACTTGGGCAACAGATCTTATGTCAATTGCCTCAGAGGCCAGCAATGTTGTAATAAGGAACATAAGTTTGCCTTTTTTCTCAGTTGTAAGTCGTACTATCATTTTTAGTGAATTGATTAGAAAGCCAAGAAAAACTATTTCTTGGGTTGGAATAAATTCCGACTTACTAGGTTGAATGACAAAACCAAGTTTCTCTAATAATATTAATGTTTCAACTACATTATCAATACAGCGGTCATACGTGCGACCCATTAGAAATAAGTAATCAATATAAACTTAAACAATGTGTCCATTCATCCGTAGCGAAGTTACTACGGGTTTGAACAGTTTAGTGAACATTCTAGGGCAAGAAATGAGTCCATTGGGGAAAGCAGTAAATTTGTATAGATTACCTTTATAAGAAAATTTTAGAAATTTTTGGAAATTAGAATGGATCAGGACGCTATAATAAGAATCATTTAAGTCTAATGATGCCATCCAACAGTATTTTGAGATGAACTTTAGAGCAGTATTTATATTGTCCTTTTTGAAATGGTAATATTGTACAGATTCATTCAATTTTTTATGATTTATAATCAGCCTAATTTTCCATCTTTGGTATTGTAAAAATAGGGGAAACAAAGTCAACCAAGTCTCTATTGCATGGAGTGAGTTGTTCACTGTGTGTCTAGGTGTATTTCTATAATTAAGGAGTCCTGAATAAGAATCGGTGTTATCATATTTTGCTTTCCTTATGATTGCTTTTGCTGTCTGCACAGCACGTTCTGACATGCTTTTACTTTTTGGATATCCAGGTGAACTTGTTGTATGTTTAAATCCATACTGTAACGAGAATGCACGAAATTCTTTACTCCTGAATTGTGGAGCATTATCTGTTATAAGATCTTCGAAAATTCCGTATCTCGCAATTTGAGATTGCATCTTTGTGATAACTGTTTTTGATGTTGTATTTAACAAGTAAACAATTTCAAAGAATTCACTGTAGTAATCTACCATAAGAAGATAGCTTCTACTATTTAATTCAAACAGGTCTGCTCCAACTTTACTCCACGGTCGATGTGGTACAGTATGTGATTGTAGAGGCTCCTTT